TGACCCTAATCTAGGTTATCTGTATCTAACTCATGTCTGGCTTTTCCTCGTGGGAGAGACTGTATAGTTCAAAATAAGCACATACATGTTTCATGTAAATGCCTCACAAATTGTGTGAACTTGAGTAGTTGTTCACTTTTTTAAGCGTTAAACAGGTGTTATTTTGAAATTAAGAGTTTAAGTGCTGTGAAAATTGAGCTTAGAAATATTAATCTGAACAAAACAGTCACTGTTTTACTAAATTAGCAATAAGACCAAAAACTTTTTAGTATGCACTTAGAAGTATTAATTTAAACAAAACAAGCAGTCATTTTATTATTTTACCAAATAGCAGTAAGACCAAAAAGTTTCAAGTATGTTAACTTTTCCTAAATATTTTTTTTTTTTTTTTGAGACAGAGTTTTTCTCTTGTTGCCCAGGCTGGAGTGCAATGGCATGATCTCGGCTCACTGTAACCTTCGCCTTCCAGGTTCAATCCATTCTCCTGCCTCAGCCTCCCGAGTAGTTGGGATTATAGTCATGCACCACCACGCTTGGCTAATTTTGCATTTTTAGTAGAGACGGGGTTTCTCCATGTTGGTCAGGCTGGTCTCAAACTCCCGACCTCAAGTAATCTGCCCTCCTCATCCTCCCAAAGTGCTGGGATTACAGGTGTGAGCCACCGTGTCCAGCCCTAAATAATTTTTAAAAACCATGAAGCATAAAGCTCCAGTTTTATATAAGTTTATCTCCTTGCTTTGACTACATTTTTTATTTTTATGTTTTGAAACCCTGATTTGAGCATGATCTGGCTAAAGTCCTTTCAAGACTCCCTATTCCTTAGAGGTTCAAGTTCAGATACTATAATTTGGCTTCAACCTCTTGGAAATTTTTTAAAATTTTGTTTTATGTTGATAAGAAGACTTGACATGAGATCTGTGCTCTTAACAAATTTTTTAAGTGTACAATACAGTGTTGTTAACTACAGGTACAATGTCGTAGAGCAGTTCTTTAGAAATTATTCTTCTTTCATAACTGATACTTCATGCTAGTTGATTAGCGACTCCCCATTTCCCTCTCCCCCAAACCTATGGCAACCACCAATTCACTTTTTTTTTTTTTTGAGACGGAGTCTTGCTCTGTGCCCCAGGCTGGAGTGCAGTGGCGCGATCTCGGCTCACTGCAAGCTCCGCCCCCCCGGGTTCACGCCATTCTCCTGCCTCAGCCTCCCGAGTAGCTGGGACTACAGGCGCCCGCCACCTCGCCCGGCTAATTTTCTTGTATTTTTAGTAGAGACGGGGTTTCACCGTGTTAGCCAGGATGGTCTCGATCTCCTGACCTCGTGATCCGCCCGTCTCGGCCTCCCAAAGTGCTGGGATTACAGGCTTGAGCCACCGCGCCCGGCCCATTTCACTTTTTTATTCTGTAAATTTGCCTATTTTAAATACCTCATATAGGTGGAATCATGCAACATTTGTCCTTCTGTGACTGCCTTCATGTTTGTTGCAACAATGTTCACAATGGGTAAGATGTGAAAACAACCTGAATGTCCATCGAGAGAAGAATGGATAGAGAACCGTGGTATATCCATATAAGGGAATATTACTTGGTTATGAAAGAAAAGTAATGAAGTACTGATCCATGCTGCAACATGGATAACCCTTGAAAACTTTATGCTAAGCGAAGTAGGCCAATCCAAACACTTTTTTTTAAAGCATCACTTTTTGGTTCTCCCTTCCTTTAACTTTACCAGGAATGCTCCTTTCCACTTTCCTTTTTCCGTCTTCTGCACTCCTCAGTTAGGGTTGTTAGAGACCCTGAAAGACCCAGCTAATTTCTCCTGTTCTTTGGAGCTTTCCATGACTCCCTCTACAGAGGGAGTGTTTCTTTCCATTGTGTTTCTATGACAGTTTTAAATAAACTTACTATTTTTTAATCTCTTTAAATTCTTGTTATATAGACTCTGAGCTCTAACAGGTAGGGATTATCTTGCAAAAAAAATGTATGGCAACTTCTCACTACCTAGCACAGTTTGTTCTCACTCTCCCTTCCTGTCCCCTTCCCCCATTTTCTTTTTTTTGTCTTTTCTTCAGCAAATATCTATAAAGAACCTACTACATGCCTCCTGTCTCCTGGAAATTCTGTTTATTGAATGGGTGAGAAGAAATATGAAATCTTGGCCAAGAAGACATTGTTAACTGTATTATTAGTTTGCTATTTTAGTCATTCTAAGCATGAAGATAATAGGCCCTTGCCATTTAACATTAGAACAGCTTATGAATTTCACAAACTTATGGGAATGTTTGGATGGAAGTATTAAGGAAAAACACAAATGATAGTCATTTTGGCTTTATGTAATTTGGACTCAGATCATGTTCAGTATTGAAATCCATTCTTGACTTTGCTTTAATAGCAGAGATTTGACTTCTGACATTGTTGATCACAGCCATGGAAATAACCACATGCATAACTGCCTACCCCAAGTAACAGTTATTTTGGACCAAATGGAGGGGAGTAATTTTATTATCGTTCACCATTGGAGTTGGCATCTGGTCAAAATAGGTGTATGTTTGGGGTAGTGTTAGATGGAAATATAATGCTTCTGAAATATCGTTCTGAAGGATAATAAGAGTAGATAGTGTTCATAGGGCAAGTACCCTTGCTAAAAACAGAACTGAATCCTATGTGGTAGATCACGATATTCTCATTGATAGATGAAGAAACAAAGGCTCAGAGAAGTCAAGTGACTTATCTGAGGTTGTGCAGCTAGGTAAGTAGCAAAACCAAGATTCAAGTCTAAGTCTGTCTGATTGAGACCATGCCTGTTTCATTTTGTTGCTGTATTGTCCTTAAATCCTCATTTTCAAACTTGCATCCAAGTTGGAGATAGTGAATTAACAAGGTAATTTGAAGTGGGGATATGGAATTACGGAATTACTTGATATTTGGCAAGTTATTTAACCTTTCTTAACCTATTTCTTCACATAGCTAATACTGCCTGCCTCCTAGGATTATAATGAATAAATAAGATGATGTATGTGAAAATACAGTGTGAAGGATAAAACCCTATACTAATATTTGGTGGCATTGTTATTAATGCTGTCATTATTACACATAAGAGCATTCATCTTTAAAATACTAATTCTGCTTCTTGAGTATTTCTTTGCCATTATCCTTTTAACTAAGCTGCTTATCAGCTTTTAAAGTACCATAATGACTGCATTTCACTAAAAAGGAGAGTTATTTCTTTAAGTGTGACAGAAAGTTCAGATGGTCTTAAGATTTCAATAAGGGTTTTAACTTAAAAACTACATTTAGCTATTTAAAACTTTCTCCTATTTCCCTCTACTCCAGATATTCTTATTTTGTTTACTTGAATTACATCTAAAGTTAAGGTTTGAACTTTATGATGACTTGTTTTTAGTGATTGATATTTAATGGTTATTTTCAGTACATTTGTTAGAACCTTTTTTTTTTTTTTTTTGAACCAAGCATTATATGCCTACAAAATGTTCAACACTGGAAAACTAGTCCTCTGTGAAGGCAGGCTGGAGTTTGTGTTTAATATGGTTTTTAGCTAGAGACTGACTATATCAATTGTTTCCATAGGCATATTGTTTTTTATATACAGAAGATGACTTTCTCTTTTCCTGAAATCCTTGATGCTTAGTGTGTAGTTTAAACCTTTGCCAAAAGACTGGTGCTGTTTCTTTTCCACTAAGTAAGAACACGAGAAGATCAGGATGTTTCATCATGGTGAAGGAGTTCATAGTAGCACTATAGAATTGCACTAAACTTTTAAAGCATGCTTTATTTTTATAACTAATATAAAAAAATACTAGCTTCTATCGACATGGTAGATCATATGACAGAAAGTTATTGAAGAGTCTGGAACTTACAGGGTATTAACTATCAAATAGAAAACTTGATTTTTTAAAATCATAAAACATCATTATCTTTGGCAATTTTTAATTTTTTGTTGGTGCTGGTAGAAGTAATATATATATGTCTTTTTATGATAATCAGCTTTATGGTATGATTAAGTTTGATTCCAAAGCAGTAATGTTTTGTTTTCATGCTGCCATATTGGTCAAAAGCAAAATAATGTATCTTATAAGCAGCCAATTTCTAAACTAGCTGACATATTTCTTAAGCTAAAAAATGTGTGCCAGTCCTCTTCAGAGGCATTGTGGCTTCGGAGTTATATCTGCGTTTAAATTTCAACTCTAGAACTTTTTTTTTGTTTTAATCATTGGGCAGAAAGTTAAGATATTCGTGTCCCAGGTTCTTTTTCTTCTCTAAAATGCAAATGCAGATGGTTACCTCTCAGTGCAGTTGGGAGACTCAGATGAGCTAGTGTGTGAACATGGTTTTTAACTGAATATTATATAGTATTTACAATTCCTCATTGATTGTAATTTACATACAAAAATATTGTAAGTACTTTTAAAAATTATTTTTTCTTGCCAAATTAAGCAGAACTGCTTTTTAAAAAATATCTCTGGCCGGGCGCGGTGGCTCACGCCTATAATCCCAGCACTTTGGGAGGCCGAGGTGGGTAGATCACAAGATCAGGAGACTGAGACCATCCTGGCTAACATGGTGAAATCCCGTCTCTACTAAAAATACAAAAATGAGCTGGGTGTGCGGCGCGTGCGTGTAATCTCAGCTACTCGGAAGGCTAAGGCAGGAGAATTGCTTGAACCAGGGAGTCGGAGGTTGCAGTGAGCCGAGATCACGCCACTGCACTCCAGCCTGGTGACAGAGTGAGACTCTGTCTCAAAAAAAACAAAAAAACAAAAAACAGAATCTCTTCCACATAATAAAATTTTCAGTATGAGTAGTATATGTTTAAGAAACATCTTACAGTATAATTAATATAAAACTTTATAATTCTGAATACTAGTGAGGATGGGTCTCTTTGGTTAAACTATTCTATATAGCAATGGCATGAATTGAACATTTTATGTGAAATATATATATTTCTACATTCTAAATGATACAGGTGTGTGCTTTTATAGGTTTGCCTGAATCCATCATTGCAGCTGCATGTTCAAGAAGTGGCCGGAGAGTTCTGCATGTTGATTCGTAAGTTTATCAACGATAGCATTTAATACTTCCTAAATATCTCTATACAAGATTAAAATTTACATAAACACATATATGTGTGTACCTATGTACATATATGTGTGTATCATACATAAACTTAAGTTAGGAAAAAGACTGGAATTGTTTAATTTTAACCACTAATATGTGAAATATATAGCATACAAGTTTTACTATTCTGTGAAATAGTGATCTTTCCTTTGAGAATAAACCAAATGCATCATTTTATTTTTCTCATGAGTGATTTTGTTTAAAGTAACAAGTAATTCTCCAAGAGGCTTGGAAACCTCATGCCTGCCCCTTTTCTTCCACACGTGTGTGGGTATATACAACCTATATATGCTGTTGTATTTTAGGCTTCATAGTCGATGATTGTAAAAATCAGCCAATTGATTTTGAGTATTATTTTCTTGAACTTCATCAAAATTTAAACTTAGGAAGTTTTAACTAGGAAAAATATCTACAATTATGTTTTTCCCTTTTTTCTTGAATGTGATGATAAACAGGAGGTTGATGGAAAACTCGGGTTTAAGATAAAGCATAGATTAAATCTCTCCATTTCTATATCCCCCCCAAACAAACCCCTAATCTCCCACCTTTCTATTAAGTGCTTTTGACTATTATATCTTGGCACTTTAATTGTTCATTGAATAGGAATAGAAAGAAGAAACATACTTTTTATTTTCTGTTAGATATTAACTACAATGTTTTTCAGAATGCTACAATATAAAAAAAAATTAGATTTATCATAGCTTATAGTGCCTTCCCATATGTTATCTCATTGTAAATATGTGGGAATCTAAAAAGTAGCATGAGTTAATCTTCTTTTAACCTGTTCTGAATCCATTTTGAAAGCATATTAACTCCTCTGTTATAATAGCTAAGATTTGGGAACAACTGGATGGAATTTCTAAATTGGATTCAGTTTTCATACACATCCTGCCTTTGTAATTCACTTTTACTATTTCACTATTGTATGCACGACTGCTTGTGTTAATCTCTCAATTCAGTCTTTTTGACATATCATGGATTTGCATGTCAGAAAATCTACCTTGGGCCAGATATGGTGGCTTATGCCTGTAACCCAGCACTTTGGGAGGCTGAGGTGGGCGGATCACTTGAGGTCAAGAAGTCAGGAGTTTGAGACCAACCTGGCCAACATGGTGAAACCCCATCTCTACTAAAAATACAGAACTTAACTGGGCATGGTGGTGCATGCTCATAATCCCAACTTCTTGGGAGGCTGAGGCAGGAGAATTGATTGAACTCGGTCCGGAGGTGGAGGTTGCAGTGAGCCGAGGTTGCGCCACTGCACTCCAACCTGGGCGACAGAGAAAGACTCTGTCTCAAAAAAAAGGAAAATCTGCTACCTTGAAGCCCAGGTACTGAGACAGTATGCTTTAAAATATTAATTCATATATATTTTTGATGAATTTATTTAACCTAAAATTAAAAATAAAATACTTGCTTCTCATTTCTCAAAAGTAGAATGATAGTAAAAGTTGTTATTTGTTGAGCTTGTACTATATGCTAGTCAACATATTAGTTTCTTTATACATGTTATGTAACTTAATTCTTATCACAGCCAAGTAAGGTAGGTGGTGTTATCCCAATTTGACAAATGGGGAATGTGGGACATAAAGACATTAAGTACTTTTTCTAAATTTACCTTGTGTAATTTTAGTTTCAAATTTACTTTGTGTGTAGGTATGTGTGTTGTTTTTTTCTTTTTCTTTTTCTTTCCTTTTTTTTTTGACACAGGATCTCACTCTGTTGCCCAGACTATAGTACAGTGGCATGGTAATAGCTCACTGTAACTTCAAACTCCTGGGCTCAAGTTATCCTCCTGCCTCAGCCTCCTGGTAACTAGGACTACAGGTGCATGCCATTGCACCCAGCTAACTTTGAACATTTTTTGTAGAGATGGAATCTCGCTATGCTACCTAGGCTGGTCTTGAACTCTTGACCTCAAAAGATCTTCCCAAAATGCTGGGATTACAGGCAAGAGCTACCGTACCTGGCCTATTTTGTGTTTTCTTATTCCAGAACATGAGGTCTTCCTAGAATGAAGACTATTTTATAAATCAAATTGAGTTTACTCATATTCCAAAAATAAAGTTTGATTAAAAATATAAGAACCTAGATCTTACTTTGACAAGCAGTGAATCAATTAGAAAAGCTTGATAATATGGTTGTCTTAAGACATTATAGTATAATAAAAATGGCATTTCAAAGTGACAAAACTTTTCTTCTTCTCTTGTACATCCTCAGACTTGATAGCTTTTGAAAGTTTAGATACATCTCGATATTGATTCTCCCACACCTTAAGCTTAGATTTGGGGGCTTCTTTGGCACCATTATCTGAGGGTAATGGATGTCTGCATACTGTTGATATCTCCTGATCTGAATCTGTTCTGAGCCCCAGTTTCATGTACCCTATCATCTGATATCTTCATCTAGATGTTCCACAGGCACCTTAACATGGCTAATATTAAGCCATGAATTCATCCTCCCCATTCTCACCTCAAAATGTACAGAACCCAAAAAACAGCATCCTGCTCCCAGTCTTTTGGAATGATAACATCGTCTACCCAGTTGCTCAACTTAAGACACTTGGAAACTTCTGTTGATTTTCTTGCTTTATCCTCCAGATTTATTCAGATGATTTTGATAATAATAGAAAACATTTATTGAGCTCTTCTAGGTACTATGATACATACTTTGAAAATATAATTTCACTTACATCCCCTAACTTTAATAGCTCTCCATATCTCTTTTTCTTTATGTCACTGTCATTTCCCTCGTTCAAACCTTGTCATTTCTCGGCTGGGTAAGCTTATAACCTCCTGACTTTATCTCCAGCTCTCTAGTTTATTTATCACACTGCCACCAGTCACATCACTCTGCTGCGTGAAATCCTTCAGTGTTTCTCTGCTGCCTATGTTAGTGATTTTCCAAGTTTAAAAAAAGACTTAATGAGGGAACTGAAACAAAACGATGAAAGCAGAGCTGCTGTGGTTGAAATGAGTGGGTCTGGGTCAGTTTAGATATAACTGGCTCATAGGAGAAAGTCCAGATTTTCTGTATGTCATACAGTGCCCTCTATGATGTGGCCTTGCTTACACCTCCAGCCTCATCTCTTGCCACTTCAATCTTTAGATGTCGACACCAGCAATGCTGAAATTTGCTGTAGCTGAACATATTGTAGTCTTTACTTCATCTTCCTACTTTTTGTCTGGGATTTGCGTAAGGTATCCCCTCAGCCTGGATAGCCTGTCTCTACCCCTTAGCCTGGCTAACTTCTATTTGTCTTTCAATGTTTAGCTTCCATACCACCTCCTCAGGGAAGTCCCACTTCCTCAAACCCCACTGGCTATGTGTCACAACTATGCTCAGGTTTTTATAACACTGTATAAAAGTGCCATGACATTTATCATACTCTTAATCATTCACTTCCCTGTCTTCCCCACTACCCTTTAAACTCTTACATCTTAGGTCTTAGTCATCTTTGTATCTCCAGCACTAGCACAGTTGCTGGTATGCATTAGATATTTGATGGATGGATAAGTACTAATACATATTTGTGTATATGATTTTTTTTTGTTAATGGTTAGTTTGGTGATGTATAATCTTTATGTCACACACATTTTGGATAAATAGCTGTTGTTAGAGATGTAATCTGTGGCTAAAAAAGTATGCAGTCAGTAACCTTGACTTTTAGTGTCATCAAGTTTTTACACTATCACTGTTCATTCATTTTTATTGAGAATCTTTGTGCAAGGAATTGTGCTAGATGTTAAGAATGCAAAGATAAATAAAAATACACTGACTCACAATCTAGTAAGGGAAGTAAAATAGATACACGTGCTATGCTGTTTGATGGAGGTATATATAAGGTGCTATATGGGGACAACTAACTCAGTGAGAGGGCTCCCCATAGGAGTAGGTACCTTATCTAAGGTTCTAAGGATAGGTAGGATTTCATCGGATGAGATGTACTAATAGGGGTTGGAGCTGGGAATAACATTTTGGACAGATGGAGCAACATGTACAAAGACTTGAGAGATGAAAGAGAATGACAAGTTTGGGAACCTACACGTAGTTGAGTATGACAGGCACAGAGAATATACAATTAAGTACAGGGTGGGGTGGAAAGTTGAGGGTACAAAGGTAGGGCTCAGGTCAAAGAATTACTTTATCTTATAAACATTAAAGAGCTATTAAATGCTCTTAAGCAGGGGAATTAAGTGATCAGATGTGTGTTTTAGTACTACACAGTAGAGAGTTGGTTGGAGAAGGGTAGGCAGACCCACTAGGTGGCTGTTTGCAATGATCTAGTTTAGGGATGATGACCTGAATAAGCTATTGGCAATCAGAATGAATAAAAGGTAGAAGGATTTGAGGTTATATTATAGCAAGAATTTTTGGTGGTGGATCAGATAAAGTAGGTGAGGGAATGGAAGAAATTACAGATGACACTCAAGATTCTGGTTTGAGCCATTTGGTGGATGGTGGTGCCAATTTCATTTACTTATGTGAGGAATTCAAGAGAATGTTCAGACTTAGGGATAGAGCTGGGGAAGGGAAGATAATGTGTTTAGAATTGAAGATGTTGAGTTTGAGGTACTACTGACATACCTTGGTGAAGAGATCCATTCACCTAGGGATGTGTATGTGTTTGTGTATGTGGGTATATGTATAAGGAGCCTGAGTGGAAGATCTAGAGCTGGAGATAAGAGATTTGGGCATTATTTGTGAATAAATGGCCGTTAAAACCAAAGAAGTGAATAGAATCATCCTGAAAATGCATATAGTGAAACACATAACAGGCAAGTATAGAAACCTGGGCAAGAGCAACTTTTAAGGCGTGGGTCAAAGGAGAAAAGCCACCAAAGGAGATTGAAAGGAAACAATCAGAGGTTGAGAAGAAAAGCAGGAGGGTGTAGATTTTCATATATGGCGACTTTACTCCTTGAAAACCT